GTTGGATGTTAAACCGTCTCGTAGTCAACAACTACTTAATATCAGTCGAAAAGCACCAACTCCCCACAAGCAGAAGCAGATGATGTGCAGCAGATATAGGCTCTTACAAGTTGTTGTAAGAGATCCTCCTGTATCCAATACACACAACATACAATAAGAGTAGAAGCTTATGATCAATTACGAGAGACATGTCTTGCACTCAACATATTGTCTGCGGGCAAATATAGAAGGACAGTGACAAACACAAGCTCTTACAACCTGTTATAGAAGACTCGTTATGCATCTAATGTATTGGTCACAGGCAAAATACAGAATAACTACAACAAATATAAATGCATATAGTCAGTTCCAGAAGACTTGTATGCAAAATAATGATCACGAACAAAAATATCGCAGCAAGTGCAAGCATTTACGAGTTAAAGTAGGAGATTCGTTAGTGTACTATAATCCACCTACAGAAAGAGACAAGTAGTGCACGATAGTCTACCTATACAAAGCAGCGAATAACTCAATCTAGAAGCTATTACGCCATGCCACCGGATACGCAACATCCATGCAAGCAGATAGAAGGTGTTTAAAAATATTTCAAAAATGCCACCGCACATGCATTATAATATGTATGCACATAGGTACACTAAAGGGGTAAATAAAATTACAACCCGCATGGGCCCCCGGCGAGTGTGTTGTGGGAACACACGTGACGTCTAGGGATGCTGCACAGGTTATTAAATTTGAACCCGATCCTCCTAAGCAGGTAAGTAGGAGTTGACAAGGTTCAACAAATAATTACAAAATGCCCCCAAAAACCTGCATGGGCCCTCGACGAGTATGTTGTGGGAACACACGTGACGTCTAGGGATGCTGCGCGGGTTATTAAATTTGAACCCGATCTTCCTAAGCAGGTAAGTAGGAGTTGACAAGGTTCCACCAATAATTACAAAATGCCCCCAAAATGGAAATGAATGACCCCATACACCCTGTTGATGGCCGTGTTGAATGCTGATCTCAATTGGAGGGGTTAACTCCAAACACTTCAAATGCCACTCAACTACAAAATCCAAAATTTCAAAAGTCCTAAAGTTCAAATATTTAAAATTGAAATTCAACCATCAATTACTTAAAGCACAAAATCCATCCACCCTCCACAACAGTTTGCCGAAGTGGACAAATTCAAATATAACTTCAGCTCACATAGAGCTAATGCCTAGTTGAAAATATCACTAGAATCTATCTCAAACAATCTCCTGCCAATAAAGACGTGGTGCCTGTCCTCTAACCAGCAGTTTTGCAGCCAAATGGCACTGCAGGATAAACGGTTATGACCCGGGTCCCTCTAAACCTAGTGATTTTGCCGCCAAATGGTACTACGAAATACCGGTTATGACTAGCGTCGATACACTCCTTAGTGGCATCAAATCCTTGAGATATGAATCAATAGGATATAATTGATGGGGCACAAAGCCCTCTGTTAGCTAAGGTGGATTCAAATTTTTCCCCTTAGACAAATATTCACCCCAAGTCTACAAAGTACCCTTGGACGAAGCAACCCATGGCTGCCGACAAGGGTCCTTCTGTCAGGTTGGGCCTCCTCTGACTAAGTAAACCAGGGACCACGATGGCCCGAGACGACGGAACCATGGAATCTTGATCGGGTCCATCATCCATTCTCCTATCATCCGCTTTAAGTGTGAGATGGTGAAATTTCTATTTTAAATACAAAACCTTCAAATTTTCATACATTCAAACCCAATTCCTAAATACCTAAACCCATGCTGCTACTATATGTCATATACTACATATCCGATTGATGACTAGCCTTAATTGAAAGTTCACTCTCATTATTGGGAGGGGTAATTAAATATAGGGGTTTGCGCCTATAGGAAACCAGAACTCAAATCATAAAGTCCTCACAAAATGAGGGCGAAATCCCTGGGTAGTGTCTTATCTACAAACCCATTTGCATTCCAAAATTTACCCTAGAACTTAATCCGTTAAAACTCCCTCGCCGAAAGAAAAACAGTGCTGGCGGAGGCCGGAGCCGAATTTTCAGAGCCCACACTCACAAATATCATGTTTAGTATGAACTATTTGATTTTTTCAGTAAATATTGTTACCTTGTATTTATTTGGTATACCAAGAGTATGCTATAGCTATGGTTACTTTATCTCAGCTGTGACTTGGAAGTTATATGGTTGAATTTCTGAAATAGCGACGTTGTGTCGTTAGAATAAAACTACATAGATGTACCCATCTCTAGGCCATTAGTCGAATGAAGTGCCATGCACTTGGTACCCATACCTCCATCCACATATGCTCCTGTGCCTACATTCACAGACACCGCTCTCTCACCAGCCCCCTCCCCCTCTACTTGATATACTAGTCAATAGTCATTATTATAGGATAATGGTAGGAAGTGGATGCAATTTTAGCAAAACCAGATAACGACACAAGATATTTAGGAAGAAGAAACGACACAAGAAATTTAGGAAGAAGAACACAAAAACTTTTTTTTATTAAAAAAAAACTAAGGAAAACACAAGATACAGTTGGATCTTCAATTGGAGAGGAAGATCCGACTCTCCCAAATCCCTAGCCGTCGGCTAGAGCTCACTCAACCTAAGCAAAATTAATTCCAGCAAAATCAAGCATAATTTGAAATCACCCCATAGTTAGCCTTAAATAAGCTCCCTTAATTCCCTTCCAAAACAACCCTCTTCCCCTAAATAATTCCCTCTAAGATTTGAATTCAAATTAGATATATTTCCCTAATTAATTCCCTCACAAGTGTAATTAAAAATTTCCTAAATAATTTCCCCTCTTCTTGCCCGCCGTCTATCCTAGTGGGGCCCATCAACTCAGCCGTCCATCAATACTCCCCTCCCAAAGGATCATATTTTCTTCAAGGTGGAATGAAGGAAACTATTGATGAAGCATTGGACTAAAAAATGGACTGACACTAGGTAGAATGATCCCTGCCTTGAGCATCTCCTGGATCAATCTCTCAATCTCTTCATTCTGAATGTGGGGATGAAGGTATAGATGAACACTAATATGTGAGACACCTTCCTTTAAGATGATCGCATGCTCGCATTCCTGCAGAAGAGGTAACCCCTGAACTGGCTGGAACACCTCTCGATACTGTTGTAGGAGTGGCTGAACCATGTCTGGTGCTTCTATCTTCTCCCCTTCTCCTTTTCCTTCCAAACTTTTCAGCTCCACCAAAAATCCCACTCATTCACCCTTTCCCCTCTTTGGAAGTGGCTCCAAAGATGACGTCTCTTCTTCCCCCAAAACTTCTACTTCCCGATCCTCTCTCATCCTCCCTATATTAGGGTTTCCCCCACTTCACAATCCAATCAACGGTGCTCTTATCTCCGATGTTGTCGGTTGGGTGTGAAGTTCTAATAGTTTCCTTATCATTCCTTTTTGATTGGAAAGTTTTTCCTCCATTAATGTCATTCTATCATAAACGCTGATTTGAATTGACCAACTTTTCTTTTAAGACTCTCTTCTAAGGCATCAACTTTCTTTGCCGTCATAAGCTCTAAAAAAGTGCTCTGATACCAATTTGGTAGGAAGTGGATGCAATTTCAACAAAACTAGAGAACGACACTAGGAATTTAGGAAGAAGAACCCAAGAACTTTCTTTTTTTTTTATTCACAATAATTAAGAAGAAAAACACAAGATATAGTTGGATCTTCAATTGGAGAGGAAGATTCGGCTCTTGCAAATCCCTAGCTGTCAGCTAAAGCCCACTCAGCATAAGCAATACTAATTTCAGCAAAATCAAGCATAATTTGAAATCACCCCATAGGTAGCCTTAAATAGGCTCCCCTAATTCCCTCCCAAAATAGCCCCCTTTTCCTAAATAATTCCCTCTAAGATTTGAATTCAAATTAGACATTTTTTCCTAATTAATTCACTCCCAATTGTAATTAAAAATTTTATAAATAATTCTCCATTGATTCTTCCTTACATAATGAATATCAACTCCCTGGGGCTTTTCCTAAATAATTCCATCTTAGATTTGAATTCAAATTAAATCTCTTTTCTTAACTAATTCCCTCTCAATTGTATTCAAAATTTTCCTAAACAAATTCCCCCTCTTCTTGCCCGCCACCCACCCTTGTGGGGCCCACCAGCTCAGCCGCCATCCATCAAATAACTGTTTTTTATCTTTTTCTTTTAGTTTATATCTTAATGAAAATCTTGTGCACTATGTAATTTATGCTTTTAATTAGTATTGTCGCTATGTTTATGATTGTGTTAGCATATTTTAACCGGTACGATGCATTTGTATGCTTGTGCGTTCACGTTTGCATGTGGATCTTTATGTGAACAGCATTGTGAGACTCATAGTTATGCTAGTGTTTGCGTTGAATGTGGATTGTTTTTTTATCCCGTTTTTCCAAGCTGTACTCCAGTCTCATGTTCAGGCTTCTCATATGCTTGGTTTTACTCTGATCCATAAATTTTCAACTTGGCACAAGTGTGATACACGAGGTGTGTCTAGTTTATGTAATTTATTTAATTGACCCTATGTTATTGATTTCTTGAAGTACTGCAATGCTCATTACATGCTCATGGTCTGGCATTGCAGCTAACTTCTGTGGTACTGCAATGGAAACAAATTACTTGAAACATGATCTTATTTACATCATTATCTTGAAATATTGTTGCTTTTGGGCCTGGCTGCAATTATCAAGTATGTGCATTTATGATGATGCGGTCATTGCTTGATCTATACGTTGTTGTCATAGTGGAAATTGCCCTGTTCAGATGCATTAATTTTGTTTATAAGCTGCATTTACATGAGATAACCATATTTAAAGAGTCCGATGCAATCATGTGACACATTTATTAAAGAAAAAAAAAGAGTGCAAAAACAAGAGCGCAAGGTGCATAGGCCACTGACTGGTGCCTAGCAATTGAATTTTTATGTTTTAAATTTTTATACAGCTATATTAAAAGGTGTTGTAGTTGGTGTTTTTTTTTTCAGGCAGAAGAAGCACAAAGATTGCGCAAGAGAAGAAAGGCTGAAACTATGCGATTACTCGACATGGAGAAGAGACAGAAACAACGTCTTGAAGAAATTCGAGACCTGCAGAAAAAGGTTTGGAGATTCTTACTTCTGTATCATGTAGTTTTATTTCATTTATGCTTTTTTTATAGTAATTTATATATTAATTTTGTCTACTTTGCCTTGTCTTACATTGAAGCAAAATGGGGAGTGGAAGGCTTATGTAACTGGCATGAATTATCTAGGACAAGGATTTAGGCCTTTATGGAGGCATTTAGGGTTGATGGGAAGAAAGGTGCTGCCTTGAAACCCATGCTATGGTTTAAAATTGAGGCCTGCCTTAGTGCAAGTTAAAGAAAAAAGGGGGCAATAATACACTTCGTGCTTGCCAGATGAGGCTTGGTGTTGGGCAAATATGGATCCAACATAATTTTGAATTTCTATTTTTTGTAATTGAATACGACATTGCGAATAATATATTATCTCGAAAGATGAAAATATTATTCCTCGATGGATTCAAATACAAAAATACAAATTTTATCCTAATTATTATAACTGAATTATCATAAAGAATAACATATAATTCTAGGAGATTGAAATGTTATTCACTTATGTATTCAATCACAATAACAAAGATACCTTCATTAATCTAGTAAACAAATCATCATAGGAAATGACATACCATCCCGAAGATGGAGGTATTGCTTTGCTAAGGATTCAAATATGAGAATAATGATATTTTAAATTTAAATTCCGGTTTACGGTTCCTAAAAGATTCTTCCCCTATGTTATTTAGGATCTAAATAAAGTAGAGTTCATTTTAAGCTGGGTTATTTATTTCCTATAATGACAAGTCTTTATAGTTAATTACATCTTAAGATATTGAAATCCCTTGAGAAAACTTTAATTAAGATTATGATAATCAAACTTATGATTTTCAAAGTTTATGACCAAAGTTTATGACCAAGGATTATTGAAATTTGGAAATTTCAAAAGGCATTTGTTTAAACTTGGAGCATTTTTATTTTACAAGAGTCAAAGGAGGAGAGTTAGGAAATACACGATTTTGAGAAGCTTAGAAGTATCTCAAACTATCCTATGGTTGGGCTTTATAATTTTGATTTTGAAATTTAATAGTTGAGTTGACATTTTATTAAAGATTTGGGGCTTATATTCTTAATCACAAGATCAATGAAATGCTTCGAAGGTGAGATCTTATGATGTATAATCAATCTCAGTATCATAACATAGATCTAAGTTGTATCCCAGAGTAGTGACTCAAATCTAGTTTAACGAAATGTAAACTCAGTGAGTTGGGAAATCTTTGACTCTGAAAAGAGTTTCATAAAGTCTGACACTTATGGATTTACGTTCTTGCATGGAGTGGAAATACTAGCTAAAATTCCGCCTAATTGCTTTAAGAATCTTGACTTCAATTTTATCCAAATGTAAGATGGTTAAGTTGTTGTTATTTAAGTTTTTTCGTATATAGGGCCGTCATCTAGAGTCATTCTTAAATGGCTTTGGACTTATGAAAGATTCTTATGCATCTAGAACTAAATGAAATTAAATTTTATTTTTTTTTTAATTAGTTTTTAATGCAATGCATGTTGTTAAAACGAGGATTTGAGAGGGAAAAGCTTGAAATTATTCATTACAATCTTCCCTATTTATAGATCTATACAAGATATCCTAATGAGGAAATAAATTGCATAATTAATACATAAATAATACATAAAAAATCTTTCCTAAATTCGTCCCCTCATTATGGCGTGATCCATGAGAGTATCACACGGATTGATCATTGTGTCCGTCGGATCCTTTGCAAGTCATTCTTAAATGGCTCTGGACTTATGAAAGATACTTATGCATCTAGAACTAAATGAAATTAAATTTTATTTTTTTAATTAGTTTTTAATGCAATGCATGTTAATTGACTCTTTGTAGTAATCATAATGTGGTTTTTTAAAAAAGTTTAAAAAAAGATTTTATCCTAAAAGAGCATAACTACCTTGAGATAGAACTGCACCCTTGTAGGTTCGGTGGTCTGCTTCTACCCACATGCAAGGAGGTGCCTAAAGGAGAAGAAGAGTTCAAAATGCTTTATGAGATCCCATGCGAATCCTGACTTACTTTCTAAACCAAGTATCTTCTTATGTTGTCCTAAATTTTTTTATTAGTTATGAATATAAAAATTATATTTCCTAAGAGCCTAGAGAGAAATCTAGGCAAAAGCACATGCAAGAAACAAATATAGAAAAAAAATAGGAGCAACTAAAGCGCAAACAATGTAAACAATCATCCACCCAACCACCAATAAAAACAATAAAGCAAAGTAAAAAAAAAAGATCAAAGTTAATCTGACAAATGCCACTTAATTACAATTCTTTATATACAAAGACAATCAGGTATGCCTTTAAACTACAAGCCGGATTCTACTCTTATGAATGGCGCAATTCTGAGGTATTCTCTAGAGTTTTCAATTCTTCTTTTCAGGCTCGATTTGCTCTTCCAGTAAGGCTTCCAAATGAAAAGGATCTTCCAATGAAAGGAGATTCTTTCCCTTTCATTCCTTATTCCTTTAAAGAGATAATACCACATTTTTAGACTTTCACAATTATTTTATATTTATATATTAAAAAAAAAGACTCTATGTACCACCTATAGGTTTAGGTTCTGCCTTGAGATTCATGTCAAATAGTATGAATTTTCTGGAGTCTTATCTAATCTCAGTATACGTATATTTCAATCATAATGCATCTTTGGCAAGACAATCTTGCTTTGTTTTAAAATGGTATGGCAATACATGAAAGAAGTCATAAGACTTAAGGTTTCACTTGTGGAGTATTTGTAAGCTTTGAGTGTTTTTCCGTGATTTCTTCTGCTACGAAGATGATGCGATTGGAGATAATGCTGGGAAAGAAATAGTTGATTTGTAGCACACCTTGGATGTAGGAAACCATGCTTTAGACGTTATTATATTTGTAATTAAGTTGATTGGTAAGAAAAAGTATTATAGTACTCCTTCGAAGGGCAAGTATTTTATCCTTTTCAATGAGAAACAAGTTTGTACGTCAAGTATAATACATTTCAAATATCAGTCTCCTTCTTTCATTCCTACTCCTTGGAAGGGCAAATCTATGGTTTGTAAGCTATAATCGCAAAGGAAAATTACTGTTCTTTTAAACTCCACAGGAGAAAATTGAACACTTATTCTCAAACAAGCTTAGTAGCTTTTCACGTTGATTCTGATTCTGCTTAGCTAGATGTCATTCTCCCTGAGAGTATTTTGTTGGCTCTCAGGTGAAGTTTGTGGACTTCTTAATTATGATGATGCTGGAAGTGTTAAATGTAAACTTATTATTGCTTCTTGACTTCTTTGTTATAGTTTCTTTTCTTGTATGAGGATTAGCTACTGAAATGTAAGATGTTTAGGTTCTCTACCGTTAGAAGTAAAATGGTCTGTGAAGGTGCTCAAACAAAAAAATCTAAATATCATTTTTGTTCAATAATCCAAACTGGTCAATCCTTTGTTTGTTATTCTCTCTTCAATAATGAAGACATTATTATTGATTTATTCAATCTTAATTCTAATGGGCAATCAGGCGGCATCCAGTGTGTCTGGAATTTTAAATTTATCTCACACCATCGGTAGATTCTCTATCCTGGTTATCTTCTCTATGTGATAACTTTGATTTTTCTTAATCTATTCTTGCTCCTTCATATGAATCTGAGAAGCTATTATTTTGGAAAGAAGTATTTGTCGTTGGTGCAATTGGTCTTCTAAATAGATTCTTTCTGTAAGGATGTAAATGATACCATTTGTTTGGAAGATAGATCCTCCATTGGCATTAATACTATTGATTTCTTCCTTGATTTGGTCTATTTTCCTTTTTCTTGTAGGAAGTTACTTGGTGTCCAATGATATAAATGATGAAATTTCGGTTAAACGATTGATTTTTTTATTTCACTACCAGGAGGATTGCTTTTCTAATTGTGTCTTAAAAGCTTACAGTATATTTTTCTCCGGTCACTCTACACTTTTTCCTGTGATGTTTCTCAAACTTAAGCTTCGCATCTTTTGCTTTGAGATTTTTTTTTTTTATTTTGTAAAGAGGGCTTCAAAGAGATAAAGGGCAATTGATGGATTTGCGTCACTATCTTGGATTTTGTGGTGAATTTATTTTTATGAAACTCAAACTTATTAGGAAGAAACTCAGAGTTTGGAAAGCATTTCTATATTATTTTCAAAGAAGAAAAGACTAATATGTACTCTAAATTTAATTCCATTGAAATGGATGCTGAATTGGTTCATTGTCTCTTCAAGAGTTGGAGAAAGATGATCAAGGTGATAAATGGCTTTATGATAAGCTTAAAGAGAAGGAAATCTTTTGAAACCAAAGATCTTATGTAAAAGGGCACTTGAAGGGGTACAAAAAATCCTTCTTACTTAAACAAACTTGCTAATTGTAATAGAAAAATGTCACTCATCCAGAATATTAAGGTAAGTAACACTCTTTCCTCAAAGTCTGAGAATATTATTTAATCTTTTTTCCAATTTATATAAGGATTTTTGGGTAAAAACTAACGACCTGCTTATAAGATTGATTTTCTTTGCTTTTTGTTTGTCTGGATTTTTCTTTGCTTTAGAAGAAGTCTTAGAAGTGTTTTTTTTTTCTCTTCATGCTTCTAAATCTCCTATTCTGAATGAATACTTCCATAATTTTTTTAATCATGTAGGATACTATTTGTCTTAATGTTATGAATGCATTCGATGATATTTTTTGTGGTAAGGCTTCATTAGCAGGGCTTAGTTTTGCCATATTTATCTTATTCCAAATTTTTTACTGAAGTTCTTGCCAATAAGCTCAGATTTGATGCCCAAGCTGGTTGATTCTTCTTATGGACTTTCATTTATAGCAGTAACAACCCATGAAAATTTGGAAAAATTTTTAGACTAAACACAATTAATAATTAAATTTAGCATATAAGCATGATTTAAAAAAAAAACTAGGCAAAGTCGCCCCTTGAATGGGCCGGACTAGACATACCTGAGTTAGCTAGACATTATTCGTAACGAAAATTTGGATTAA